AAAAAAAAAAAAAAAAAGCAATGCAGTTTATAGATTTAAAAAACTTAATTTAATCGTGTGTTTTTCCTCGTTCTTAGGTTTTTCTCAATGGTATCAAAATTTCAAGGTCAAGCTGGTAATTAGCTAACGACAAAACTCCTGATATTGTTTGATCAAATCTTTTAGTCGAGAGCACAATTTTTCAGAGATGCTGAAAGTTTACCGGTAATGCTAAACCAGCCTTCCACCAACCCTAATTTAAAAAAAACTGTTATCGCCTTAAGCTGCTTGAGAAAATGGTAAGAACTGTTAAAAATCAGCTCCTGCCCAAACTGCAAAACCAAAAAAACTTTAGCAAAATCTCTAAAACAAAGTTTACAAACAAATACGTTTGTCCAGTTCATTACTAACGCCTCGATTCATCACAACTTTGTTCTCGAGATTCGATTCTTGAAAATCTATCTGTAATTTTCAATTCAAATGCAGAAAATAAAAAATAACCTCCAGCAAAGTTCTAAGATGCCTTTTTTAAACGATTTGGCTTGAAATATTTTCTAATATAGTTGACTAGAATTTTGCAGAATAAGAACTCCTAAACAACTTACGATTTGAATCATTAAGGCTGAAATATACGAAATTTTATCCACGTAGTTTTTTAGTTCTCCAGCAATATCTGTTAAAGGTAGTTCCTTTTCAGTGATGTAATCATTCACTTGCAAAATGCTTGTACAAGTCTATAAAGCAACGAAGTAATCGCTTAAAGAATTAATATCAAATTTTTCCAACCCCTCGTTGAAAAGCTATTGAAAGACAGCCAAATAGAAGCGGAGAAGTGAACATATTTCTTAAAAGCTCACTGAAAAAAGATTTTTCCAGTCATTAACGGTCATTCGGCCCCCTCTCGCACGTTTTAAAACGCCCTTAACAGTTTTAACTTACAAAAGTTAAACAAAGCTTAGTATTAAAATATCTAATCTCTTAGTTGCATGTGAAATGTGTCAAACAGCAGACGTCAGAAATGGCGCATAAATGAAAAATCATCACAAAGGAAGTACAAGAGACGGACCATTCTGAGGACCATACGTTTACGTTAAACAAAAGTGCCATGATACCTTCAAAGAACCAATATTTTTAACACGAGTGGCGATAAAATTCAAGCTATCTACATTACAGTCTTGGATAAAAAACGAAATTGCTTTTTGTCGTATTGAGAGAGTTTTCCGATTTACTGTTGGAGATTCAAACCAACGCCTGCAGCATAACTCACAACTATTTATTAGTTTATATTAATGAAAAATCTACCAAAAATTTCTAATTATGATGCATCTTTACAACGTTTCAAGTTATTGTATTAAAAAGTTATTCTTACTTCATAAACTCTTACTGTAACAGTAGCTCAATATAGGAGAAAATCACATTGATTCAGCTACATACCTGAGCAGAATTTTCCCTGGTTTTGACTTGCATCGATTGCATATACGAAATAAACTAATACCTTCGCCGTCAATACTATAACGACCAATTTTAGAGACTGATGAAGAAAGATCTTTTTGAAATACTTGTAGTGCTTCAAAACTGGAAGAATCCATCTCGACTGTTTGATCACTGAAAATAAACAGTAGAGTTGTTGAAAACAAAGATAATTGCAGTACTAAGACTTTTCGCAAAAAATTACTAAAAAACAACTTATAACAGATTAAAATGTAAAATAAATCAAATACTTTATATTCGATTTACTCTCAACGTTCTCTCACTTAGCAAATTCAATTTTTACAACTTTAAAAAGAGATATAAAAAACTGTTTTTAGTGAACTCAGTCTTTTTTAAGGTTTCAACTCAGTCTTTAACTTTTAAAAGAGATATAAAAAACTGTTCTTAGTGAACTCAGTCTGCAGTACTATTTTGAAAATATTCAAAATTAAAAAAAGTATCGGAGAAACAGTCCAAGCCATAGGTCGAAGATATCAATGTATTAAATCTACTGACATGGAAAATACTTCGACAGACACCACAGGTGTCTTTACAGAATAATCCTCGAACTCTACACCAAGACGAACAGCGTCGAGGTATTTTAGCAGTGCACCGAATGCTCGCACCTAAAAAGATTATTCAACATTAAACGGCGCTAGAATAAGCAGATTGAAAGACATTTTAAATAGAGTTCAGTAAAATTTTGATGACTACATATTACATTCATATAGATCTCTATTTATTAACATTCGTACCATATTCACTGCTGCTAAATCAATAAAGGCTGCAACTTGCAAAAAATTTCCTTCACAGCTGCGGCTACTAAATAAGACAGCAATTCTCTTTTTAGCACCATCGTAATCTAAAAATGTCCTCAACATCAATTTCGAAATCATTTTGAGAAAAAATTGTGTGAACTAACAACAACTAGAGAAACTGCTTTTTCCTAAGAGTGACTTACGTTCACACATGCATAAATTTAATTTTTTCAAGTAAAATGAATGATAATATGAATATTTGTAAACTGTAAGAAAGATACACTTAAAAGAACAAAAATCATTATTACTGAAACATTACCATAAGCAATTTTTGGCATGAGATGTAAAGCAAAAGAGAACGAGATTTCACTTTCTAAATCCGAATCCGAGTTCTCCAATTCTGACTCCGCTTCATCCTCCGCTGTCTTGAAGTTTTTAAATGCATCCCCTGCGTGCTCGTTAACCACTTCAGATGAATCAGAAGTATTCTTAGAAGCTGAACATGAAGAAAAATGAAAATGCACTTGTTGAGTAGTAATCGCATCGAAAGAAGCTACAAGAAAGATATTATAACCATTCCGAAAACCGTGCTTTAAAAACAGTTCTAATAAATCCAGACTACGAGTTTTCAACGCCTAAATACAATAAGAGGCTCACCGATGCGACTGAGAAATTCAATTAAACCGGCTTCTTGCACTTTGCTTACTATGGTAACAGAAGGTTCTACTTCTTTGATAACTAGAAAACGTGAATGTATGATTATTTAGAATACTAACCACTTCTCTTCTGCCTTGCATATATATAAATATATATATATATATATATATATATATA